TATTTCCAGGCCCCAATTTTTTAATTAATGGAAAGAAAACCAAAAGTTCTTATTTTCTTTGCAATTTTTTTTACTGTTCTTTAGTTGTCGACTTCGTTCACCCAAAATATACAATATATAAAAAACACAATAACTTGCTTTCTTTAGTTAAACAGAGCGGGGGAGGCGAGCAAGAGTACAGGTTGAGTAGAATGCTAACTGATTCCTACCTAATAAAGTTCTGATTATTTTTCTGGGGTAGCAACAGCGCGCTCCGTGAATATAAAAGGAAAAAACATTAAGTGGGGAGGTAGAAGGTTCAAGGTACATCCCTATAGATTCCCTCTCTGCTTCCCCTTTCCTGGAATGGTTCCCAGCTTTAATTAGACTTTATTTGAGAAGGAGCAGTGTATTTCTGCCATTTCATACCATTGTGTGTTTTGAGTGGAGAATGAAGGGGCACTTCATCCTAATGATTCAACAGTTCTGCCTGCTCCATTCAGCGAGGGCTTTTTTTTGATCAGATCCTCTCATTTAGCTTGTTGCATAGTTTCGAGGCTCGGTTAAGTGTGCCCCAGGCTTTGAAGATCTTTAACCTCAAGTGACAGACAGATGAGTGGAAACTGCCGTAATGCAAACCGTCCAGCACTTATAATAGCTTGCCGGCTACAGTGCCTTTGCTCTGTCAAGTGAGTCAGTGTAAGTGGGAGTGCGACTAATCTTGCCGAGCAAGTTCAATAAAAAAGGATACCATTTAATACTAAAGTAAGAGCCCATTAGAAAGAGACCTAAACATACCCTTTGGTCCTTGAAAGCATTTAAGAAGCCAAACAATCGAGCATCAGCCGAGTGTATTAATAGTCATTCTATAAATTAAAGGGTTCAGCTTGATCTATACTCAATTGTGTTTTAATGCCTTTATTAATTCTGTGGAGTGCCGAGTGGCAGAATGGAATAAAGGAAAAAGAAAGAGAATGTAAATCTGGCTAATAGGTTTAATGGAAATGTCACAATGATAGACTTACCTTTTATTGTTACATGCTACGGGTCTTACATACCTTTGCACAATAAACCTGAAACCTTGGCGTGTACAGACTGGTGTAATTAGTACATGTGGAGATTATCTACATTTCCATCAATGAAACCCAGATTTCAAGGAAGAAAAGGCCACAATGTTACAATGCATCTCCCCCTTTTATAATACGTTTGAGATCGGATGCCTCCACACCCTCTTTATTTTCCATTGCATATCTTATCACAACTCACAACTTCAGACAGATTCTCAGAATGGAGGAATAACAAATTATCCTTGGATTTGATACAGCGCCTTATCACGTCAAAACATCTCAAAGAGCTTTTCTGTGTACTTGTAAGCAAATGTGGCAGACAGTTAGTGAATGGCAATGCCTTACAAACAACCATGAAGTGAATTTTCATTTATTGTCATCTGAGGGATTGTTGGCTAGGACACCAAAGGACACTTCCCTTTATGAAAAATGCCTTGAGATTTTCAGTGTCCATCTGAACAGGCAGTGTTACACCAGGGCTGCAGTAGAGCATTAACCTATCTTGTGATTTCAAAGAGAAAATGGGACAACATCAGAGAAAGTTAACAAGAACCCTCAACAACCCCAGAGCGAGCTGTCAATTGATCCTCAAAAACAAGCAAACACACTTTCAATAATAAATTCACTTTTAATGAAGTGCGTTCCTAACAATGTACACTGTTAACGGTAAATTGTAATAATATCAACTTTGACTGCAACATGATAGCATCATTAAAGTACTATTCAAGCTGTTTTCAATTAAAAAGCAAAGAGCTATTCTTTAGACATGAAGATTTAAGTCCAGATGCACTGTGGTCTATGTAAAATACGCACTACTTTAATGCACAACATATTTAAAAGCAGAGAGTTCGAGAGCTCAGCTTTTGCCGCTTGAGATATCAGTCTTACCAGGTAATGTAGCTGTGACCATCAAATTGGTGAGTGGGGATGTCGATGAAATGGTTGCATCGGGAAGTGAATTCAAGGGGAGGAAAAGTATGCAGCTCCATCCAGCAAGTTGAGTGGATGGCTGGAGGGAAACCGGAGATAAGGCAGAACAAGATCTTCAAAGGCAAAGATTTAGTTTGTAACCTCGCTGGAATTTGAAAGCCTGGAGGCTTTGAGACTTTGTTACAAGACCGGTGTAAATCCATGAAACTGCTTTGCAGACCCGTTGCATTTAACAAGGTTTTTTTTGGCATGTAGGATTGCAAAAGAGGCGAAGGTATGATGGAAAATAATTTGATGTGGAATATCCTGGTTTAGAGACACTGGTGCTAAGGGGAACGAATGTGCCAAATGACCTGAAGCCAAAATATGAAGCGTAACATCAATTGCGACTTAAAAGGCCAGATTTTCAAGGTTCAATGTGCAGCGTGCACTTCTCACAAGCCTGCCATAAAGTGATGTGGAAAGTATTTTTTGGGGGGTCAGCCTGGTGTCTGACACGTGCGGAAACCCATTACCATGCTTAAGAGTATCCAAACCAGACTTGCGAGTTTAACGTTTATAGAAGACATAGACTTCACCACGGTTGTTCAAACTTAAGGTTGCACAAAATTCTTCATTCAGTCTTAATTTTGTTCCGTGTTCGAACAACACAAACCTCAACTTCCAAATTTAAACTGAATTTAAGAATATTGCACAGTACGTGTTTACCGCGAAGAGCTTCGAGACCTCCTCCTGACCTGAAAAGGTGCTATTCCAAACACAGTATTTGTTTGGTGGTTGTTTGTTCTTGTATTTTTTTTATTAATAATATATTTGAAGTAAAAATCATAGTAATCCTTGCACTTGGCTCAGCGCCTTTTACCCTCAGGAGGATGTCCCAAAGCGCTCAGGGGAGTGAGTTGAGTACTTTGTAGGCGAACGCAGCAGTCCAAATGAAATGTCCCGCAAACGGCCATAAAAATGCTCTTACAGCCAAAACTAGGTGGAATTTCGACTTGTTCACCTGCTAACTTTCTCTCGAAACAGTCACTGAGCTTGATTGTCCGTCCGTTAGTTTATTCCTGATTATGCAACTTTATTTACTTCGTTTTCTGTGTTCGTGTATCTTTGTGTGTGTGTGCGCATTGCGTGTGTGCGGTGCGTGTGCGCTGTGAGTGTGGGCTCGCAAGGTGCGTGTGCGCTCGTGGGGTGCGTGTGTGCTGTGAGTGTGCGGTGTGTGTGCGCTCGCGAGGTGCGTGGGCTTGCGTGTGTTTGTGTGTGTGTGCGCGTGTCTGTTTGTGTGCGTGTTTGTGGGTGGGGTGGTGGGGGAGCCGGGCCTGAGCTGTTTCATCACCATGCCCACTCCAGTTGAATAAATAAATGGAGATCATGAAAAATAAACACAGCAATAAGGTAAAGATCAGGAAATGACTAACAATGAGATTATTCACCCAAGGTGTTCAATGATGTTCATTTGACTAACAATAACTTATTGTAACCTTGTTTACAATGGGTGTTGTGTTTGCGCGCAGATCATTCACAATCAAGCTATTGAAATAGGTATTCTGTGCTGTCCAGGATGGTTCTGGAGGGAGTTTGCCATGAAAGATAAGGTATTGACATTGGTGAGATTGGAGAGGAATGAGTTCTTGTCAGATATTGCTTGCCAAATGTCGTTTTGTAGATGTAGTCAAATTTTCACGGCAGTGATAAAAGGCCCAGCAAGCCTCTGTGACAGCAATGATCTCATTAAGCTTAGCTGTCTGAAAACAGCATCGAGCTTCACTAGCAACTATCCTCTAAAGCTTTCTTTTTCATGTCGGAAAATTTTCAGATAAAATTTATGGTCTAATTTGCACCGTTTCTCAACATGATTCCTTAATAAGGAATCTTGAGTCACGCCAATATTGGGTAGCAGAAATATTGGGATTTTCTATAACGATAATAATAATAATCCTTACGTTTGGTGTAGCGACAGAAAGATGTCTCGAAGCACTTCAAAAGGATTTGCTGTACAAACAGCCATGAAATAAGTGATTTTATTTGGGGGTTTGTTGGGCCAATCTTTCCCAGTGTCTTGGCTGGGCCCCAAATAAAATCTCCCCCAGCCCCAGCCCCCACCCCCGGTCTTAGAAATGTATCCTTATTTGGCAAGGAAAGTGAAAGCTTTTTGAATGACGTAAAGCTGATTCATCTCTTTCCCACAAGGGGTGAGCGCACCCATCAATTCCAGATCAAGGTTATGTATAGAATCAATAATTCTGGGTGGAGAGAGCATTGCGGTAAAATAGCAGTGAGCAGATCAGAGTGGAATAACTCTAGAAAAAGGGCGAGTGTGGGTGAAATCGTCTCGGGGGCTGAGAATGAAGCTCACTGAGCCCTAGGTTCAGAATCCAACAGACCTTTCAGATGAACAGTTACAACAAGTGTAATATTAGCCTCTTCCATTGATATTGAATGCAGAGGCAGAAGGCTCGATATTTTATTAATATAGTTTGGGACATGACATGTGCATGCAACTGCCAGGATGGTGGAAGTCGAGCTGGTGTTTTCTTTTGTCTAGCAATTCTCTTGTTCTTAAGCGGGGGCAGTGTGGGGATTGGAAGGAGCAGAAATGGGCGATTTTGTCCCAACTGTTTAGGCTCTACATCCCTCATCTTGTCCTCTCCTTATACCTCTCTCTATTCCCTTCTCCCACCGTAAAGGCAGTTTCCAGATTGGGTGCTGCAGAATCATTCTGTGGTGTTGAGCTGGGATGTCAACAATGTGTCGGACACCTGGGAGCAGTGTCGAGATCAGCGCTCCGAATATCAGGCGTTTATATTTAACGATTATCTCTGGTGTGAACGCTTCCTTCCCCAATAAACTTTCCTGATGCCCTTGCCAAATGTCGTTTTGGCCTCGGATTTCCCATCCGAGAGAACTCTATCCTTGTGGGTGTGATAAGTTGCATTTGTTCAGACTTGGCACATTCCAAGAAAGTCCCGCATTACTTAGATAGAGTGTGGTTTGTGTGATTAACGGTTGTCCTTTTCTGCTTTGCAGCCTGTATCCCGGGAACCTTCAAGGCCAAGCAGGGCAAGGGGCCGTGTTCCCCTTGTCCACCCAACAGCCGGACCACCTTGGGGGCAGCCACCATCTGCCCGTGCCGGACCGGATTCTATCGAGCAGATAACGACCAGCCCGAGATGGCGTGCACAAGTCAGTCACTTAGCCCTATCTATCGATGTCAGAGAGAAATGTAGCACTTTGTAAGGACGGCATGCCATTCATATCAAGCTCTGCTGATTTTAGCCCTGTTCTCACTAGAATTAATCCTAATTCCACTGCAGTGTACTGACATCCATATACCTGTGGCCCAATCTACTTTTATTTTTTTTTAGTCTTTGGTTCAGGAGATATTGTCGCCTTTGCCCAATGCGCTATATCTTTACTGTAGTAACAAATTAATCAGTAATGTAATATAATAATCCTTGCATTTGACATAGCGCCTCATCACTTCTTCGAGACGTCTCAAAGCACTTCACAGAATATACTGTCAAGTGAATTGACTGCATATTTCGTGGGCTAAACACAACAGACAATTGCACACAACAGTCATGTTGCCAGGTTCCCACTGCTAACTTTTGTATGTTAACACCGACTTGTTTAACCACATCTATCTTGTCCATGTTAACCTGGAATCAGTAGGTCTGAACTTGTATCAGGTTTAGTTGAAGTCTCTACCGTGGAACCACTGTGGAGCAGGACCGAAAGAAAGTTTCCAACTTTAAGGCGGTTGAACCAAACAGTGGACCTTGGCTTTTCATGATCAATTCAGTTCCTGACTCATTGTAACTGATATTTTAGACCAGGCAAATTTGACTTTGTTAGTTTAAAAAAAACTCATCTACCAAAGCCAAGGGTGCAAAGCAAAATGCTAGACTTTACTGTTCCCTTATATGTCACTGTAATTTGAGATACCTCTCTTAATTAAATCACACGCAACCCAATGGCCTTATTTGAAAAAAGAAGCAAGTTTCTCTCAATGCCCTGGCCAACAATCTCCCAGATAAAATTTTCCGACAAAACACACTTTAAAGTTACTCCACTTTAAAAATATCCTTTGGGACATCCTTCTGAAGTGAAAGGTGGTTCACCGAGTATAAGTATTATTATTACCATTACAATTATCTTTCTATCAGAAAATTCTCATGTTATCCAAAACACTATGCAGATAAACAGAGACACAAATGGACAGGACCGGTGCAGTAGAGAGTAATTTTTCGTACTCCCGAAAAGATGGACATGGAATTCAATTCTACTTCTGTCTATTTTCAACGCTCAACAAATGCAATCTTCTGAGTGTTGGTATAGTATACAGAGAAGCTAAGCTGCCCAAACTGGAATATAATCTCCTCTCAAGGGCTATTTTCTCAGAACTAAATAGCAGTTTGTGTTAAGAGGGACTTTAAAGCAGACAATGACTGACAGGAACAAAGAGATCGTTTTTTTGAAATCACTTCCAAGCCTTTTATAATCTTCTCTGTGTTTTCCCTGTGATCCCAAACCCATTAGTTTCTAGTTTTTATGGCACTTGAGGGAACATGTCTGAGACAGATATATTTTTATAGTGCCATTGGGTTATTTGCCATTTAATTAGCTGGAATAGTAAAGGCACCTTTGACATATTAATGACCGTGCTGCTAGTTTGTAAATCTCAAGCTCATGTTTGAGCTCCGTTAACGCACGCTAATTGTAAACTTAACAGAGTATTCAAAGTATGTGCGCGCATATACTCTGTCCATGGTGGCACTTCTCAGGCTGGATATGGAATGTTTCAGGTGGTATGTCTTGTTTGATCTAACACTTTGTTACCAATTAAGAGCTTGAAATTCTTGGGGTCTTATCCTTCGGCTGAACAAACTGCAGGATGATTTGACTTGTTTCAGTCTAGTTGCTTTACTCTACTCGTGGGGAAAGTGCCCTCAAAAGGCTCTTAAGCTTAAGGCGAATGGCTTCAGATCCAAAATTATGCAGAATTTCAGATAAAGGACTTATACACTATCTTAATTTGGAAACCGCTTTTTCTGCAGATCCCTTTTTAGCTACGACTGAAAGCCTGCCATCCAAATTAGGACAAAATTTAGGACCTTTCTAAACTTCAGCACAGTTTGAACTTCAAGACTGAAGTCTATGTAGTAATCTGAAGCCGAGACTTCAGAGGGCTCTGGGTCTCACAGACACATTCGTAAGAAAGTAATTCCTCCAGTCGTTTGATTGTTATTTAGCTGTTCAAATCTTTTTATTAAGGGGAGTCCAACCAACGCAGAAGCCCAACCTTTGGGTGGAATGTTCAGTGAGTTTCTCTTAAGACCCTTGTGCTAAAAGAAACGAGTGATGTGAACAAATCTGCCTCTCCTGGTTTTGACATATTTGCTCTCTATTGTGCCTTGTAAGTGCGGCTTGTTCCAGCGCACTTCAGAGCAAAGTCCAAATAAGTTAGGAATCACGTTAGAAAAACATGGGGGCAGCAATAATCCAGTCGAGAAAAGCGTATAAGACCAACATAGCTGGCCTTTTCAGTCTAATGTTTTGAAGTGCTCAAAGGGACATTAGTGAACGAGATACTTTGGTTTATTTCTTCTCTGGTTCAGATTTTGCTATCTCTCCATAGAAGATTCTCTCCAAATGATCTTTCACCCTATCCCTATCCCCCTCTTGTGCTCCCTCCTCCCTCCCCCCACCAAAAAAAACACATTAGGTGGAAAATAAACGGTTTTACAACCTCCATCCAGCTTGAAAAGGCTCTTCATTCTCTCTGATGCCTTGTATTGCTTTTATCAGCATTACGCAGGCAGCAGACTGACTAGAAAAAAAGGTCTGAAGTCGCTTCCTCCTTCTATAAAATTGGGGTCTAAGATGTTTTGGTGACTGGCTTATCAGCAAAGGCAGAGGCCACACTGACATGCCTTCGGAGCAGACGGGGTTCTGTTGCCTTTAAGTAAAACATTAAGGCACAAATTGCCTTCCTGGTCTGACCTCCGTAGACTCCTGTTTTATAATAGATAAATATTGCATCCTTACTATCTCCTTCCACACCATATCGCCCTCTTCCCGTATGCCCCGCCCCTTGGGCTCACAAAGTTCTTCTGGAAAAAAAGCTATTTCAGTGATTTTTTTTCCCTCGCTTGAACAACAAACAGACGTGGAAGCATCGCAATTTTGTCTTAATTCCTGCTTTGCATGTTTAGTGTTTTTTTAAAAAAAAATGTAAGGGGTGATGAAATTACTGTGAAATGAAACAAAGGCGTAGATGAAGTTAACAGATTAGTTTATGTGTCTTCTTCTGGTTTAGATCTTAACAGTCTGACAAGTTATGACAGCTCTGGATGTTTAATTCATAACGTCAGCCTGGCTGTGCCCGTCGCGCTCTCCCCTCGCTGAGTCAGAAGATTGTGCACTTTTATTCTCACAGTCCAGGCTCAGACCCCAATGCATTGTTTGGGGGAGCTCTGCTTTATTATCAGAGGTGCCATCCTTTCGTTGAGTCGTTAAACTGAGGTCCCGTATGTGGGTCCCCCCCACACAGATAAAATTGACCATTACTTCATGGCTGTCGGCTAGGACATTGCCAAATTGCAAACTGGCTGCTGCGTTCACCTACAAAATACACCGTAACTTTACATTACAATCCTGTGGACTGCTCTTTGAGACCCGCCCCTCAATGGCCCAATAAGGTGCTATATCGAACTGCGAAGCATCATCATCATATTCTAAACATCATTTCAAAAATGTAAACCCAGTAAAACTCGCAGAAGTCTGATCTGTATAAATTGTATAATCTCCTAAATTATTGAAGTCCCGTTTAAGCGTTTATATTCTACGCACGTTTGACATAATTCATACTTTGCGTAAGTCATATTAAATTTATGGTCCCAACTGATAATAACTTATGTGAGGTTTATTGCTTTGTAGTTTGTTTTCAAGCCCCTCAGGCTCGGTAGCTAATGGCATTGCCGCTTGGCGACCTAAAAAAGGGGGCGAAAAGCGAATTGGTTGACAATTTCTTCCTCTCGTTAAGGTGTGCCGTCGATTCCACGGAACGTTATCTCCAACGTAAACAAGACCTCTCTGAGCCTGGAGTGGAGCGAGCCCCTGGACACTGGGGGACGGGACGACCTCCTCTACAACATCATCTGCAAGAAGTGCAGCGTGGAGCGCAAAATCTGTTCCCGCTGCGATGACAACGTGGAGTTCGTGCCCCGCCAGCTGGGCCTGACCGAGAAGCACGTGTTCATCAGCAACCTCCTGGCTCACACTCGCTACACGTTTGAAATCCAAGCAGTGAACGGCGTCTCCAACAAAAGCCCGCACTCTCCCCAGTTTGCGTCCGTCAGCATCACCACCAACCAGGCTGGTAAGTGGCAGATTTTAACAGCGAGACGTCCCTATGGAGTGTAAACATGCGGAAGGTGTCAGCCTGCTTGCCTTTGGGTCACAGAGGGTTGTGGGTTCCAGCAGACTTAAGGAGTGAGTATGCCAATAAGGGTGGAGGCCAGAGTTGTCAAAGACGCCCTTCTCTGGTTAAGTCCAACGTTTGATGACGATACGTGCAAAAGAAATGCTATTCTGACATAGCGGAGAGGAGGGACGGTACTTAGAGACGAGATCTGAGCATAACTGAGAACTTCATTGGAAGAGGGAGAGAATGGGAAGTGGGGGGAAAAAGCAGTAAGATTAAAAGAGCCTGTCTGGTGATCTGTTGCAACTAATTCAAACAGTTTCTTGTGACAGAGTTATAGCGCCTGCTTTTAATTCTTCTGGTTCTATCGTTCCCGAAATGCTGCTGCTTTGATAGATTTCCTTCAAACGTCTGTTGGCTTAACTGCGGAAAGTATCTGCAGTGTTGTGGTTTCTGGTCACGTTTAAAGATCCTCGAGCCGAAATAATTCTAACACTGAATCGTGTTTGATGCATGATGTGGTGAAATGAAGACGATGGGGTGGGGGGGTGGTGGGGAGTGTTGATTTTTTTAATAAAAGATAGCAAAGGCAAGAGAAAAAACTTTTATGCACAAGATTATTGGATCGGTTCCACATCGCACAGCGTGAGCTGTCGATAACTTGTCTTAGAATCATAGGAATTTAATAATAATAATCCTTGCATTTGATGTAGCGTCTTATCGTTGAGACATCTTAAAGCGCTTCAAAAGATTTGTTGTGAAGTGCAGTGACTATTTTATGGGTGAAGAAAGCGGCATTTAAAGAGCATTTTAAAGACTATGTGTTTTCCCTTTAAATCCCTTTAAAGTTGCAAAGACAAAAAGTCACACCAATTCTTTAAGACCCTTAATTCCAACTGTGGAAGGCTCGGGAACCTTGGGAAGGGGAGAGGATTTATCTGAGGGTGGCTATTCTTTTGGGTCGGGGGCTTGTCTGACTTTCACATTAAGCTGCCCTTTTGTACTGTAGCTTATCTTCCAGCGTCTGACTCCTGAATAATTCAATTATCTCAGCGCTTTCTGTATTGCGAGTCTCAACACAATGAGACGGTGTTAGGGGAACCTGCCCTGAGTAACTGGTGAGATGGCATCCAGCTTTTGTCGAGAGTAGGATTCACACTGGCAGCCAGGTGCAGGATGACCAAGTTGTAATTAAGCCGCGAGAGGCTAGTGTTCAGGGTAAGGCTGCAGAGGGAATCCTAGCCCCGGGCAGTATGTATGTAATTTGTCTATTGATTGGTGTTTAATGGGTGGTATTAGCCTCTATTGTGGTGGGAACGGATTAGTTTGACAGTAGGAGTTGTTAAGTTGAGGAAATCTGAAGACTTTTCCTTGTATAGCAAGTGAAACTTTTTTTTATTGAATGTATGAATTTTTTTAAGAAAAAAGGAGTTTAGGTTGAGGATCGTGGGCGGATGGAGGAACTTTTTCTGTCTTTATCCTTTTGCAATTTGCCCGGTCTGAAACTTTGTTCACACAGAAAGGGAAAGTTTCCCTCTCTGCCCTGAGGGTTGTAAGACCATGATTGCATTTTAAAACAAAAGTTTAAGTGTTCATTGTGCTGGTGTGTGTATGTTTTAGATTAAACAAATTTGCTTGGAGACTTTATAAGTCACTGCTGAGATTGAAGCAGTTATTTACTATATTTAAGAGAATTTGATGTGGGGAATATCATTAAGTTCCTCCTTAAAGGCACATTATTATTTTTGGGGCATTTAGCTGCCAAGTCATTTAGTTGCTTTCTACTAAGTAATGACATACTTAAAAAGTTTCCAAGTGATTTTTTTAAAATATGTTTTTGATCTAAAATCCACGCTTGTAAAGGACTCGTTAATTTACGCTTTTAGTGGTTGACTCGTACCCGTCATGGTGCTTAATAGTATCCGAACTAGGCTATTTAGAGTTCGTGGAGTCTCGTAGTGTAGTGGTTAGCGCTCTCGCCTCACAAGCGAGAGGACCCGGGTTCGATTCCCGGGCAGGGCGCAACCTTAGGCAAGTTTCCTTACTCTGCACGACTCTGTTTACCTAGCCATAAATAGGATTGTTAGTCGATTTGCGGATCACTTTCCGAAGGTGGTGATCCCTGAGAAAAACTATTTGGTCTCTCAATCCATGGCTGTTCGTGCGACGCTGCTGGTGCTCAATTTGCTCAATCTGCCGGGTTTTAGCCCACAAAATACACTGTCAATCTACTTTACAATATATTCCGTGAAGCGCTTTGATATGTGATAATGTGCAGTACCAAATGCAAGGATTATTATTATTATTAACAATGTTTTTATGAAATGCTGTTGTGCCTCTTCACAGCACCTTCTCCTGTCCTGATAGTGCATTTTCTGAGTGCAACAGACAGCAGCTTATCCTTGTCGTGGCTTCCTCCCGAAAAACCCAACGGCATCATCCTGGACTATGAGCTGAAGTATTGGGAACAGGTAGAGTGGTGCTGCATTCACTTTACGGACCATTGGTTAAGGGAACAAACTAGCTTATATAGTCATCCGTTTCCACCCCTCACTCCTTTCCTCCGGGTCTGACACGAGCACTATAAAGCACTCTGAGACCTTATCCTAGGTGCAGGACGCAAGAAATTGTTACCGAAATCATCAATGTGGCTGTAACTGGAGAATGAATACCCACAGCAAAGCTCATCGCCCGTAACTGTGATCCAGTAACATAGCGGGAGAAATTCCACCTGGATCTAGATTTACTTGATTAATATACTGATTCAATGAGTCCAGAACTTGGCAAATTCTTAAACAAACAGTCTTAAATTGAAAGCCAATTTCCTGATTAAGTTTTTTTTTCAATTTGTCGTTTTTTGCCTTTTTTTTCTCCCCCAGGAACAGGATGAGAAAACCGCCTCGACCATCACGAGTCAGAAGAACAGCATTCGGATCGACGGGCTGAGAGCTGCCGCTTCCTACGCGGTTCAGGTGCGGGCGAGGACCGTGGCCGGCTACGGGAAGTACAGCCGCCCTGTAGAATTCCAGACCCAGAACGAAAGTACGTCCATCCGTCCCTCTGTCTGTCTCTGTGTCTGTCTGTCTGTCTGCTCCCTTCGCCACTCACATGGCCGCTCTGAGACACTGTTCCGCTTTAAGGTATATAATTTCAAGTTATCGTCATTGTGGTTCACAAAAAGGAATAGCCGTGTGGAGTTCAATAGATACCACTTGGTGCGCAGTGCATTTCACCTGCAAAATACACTTTACAGTATATCCTGTGAAAGCGTTTTGAGACAAAAACAACCACCACTTGCATATATGTAGCACTCTTCACGTGGAATAGCATTTGAACGGAGACATCTCAACAGCTTAATTAGGCACTGTATCAACTGCGAGGATTCTTATTCTTATTATTTAATAGCAGGTGCCTCGCTCTGTTGCAAAAAAAGAAAGTAATGCTTTAACTCTTTATACTGTTGTTTGAATTGAGCGTGGAAGATTTGCAGTGAAAACGCTTTAAAAGTTTTCAAAAGGGTAGATAACGGCATAGAAATTTGGATACCTTTAAGCGTGATGATTTAAGCGCTCCAGGGCACTACGCTATGTGAATACAAGTTGTTGTTGTGATGGGTTTCCGCCTGTATTAGACACCCAGCTGACCAAAAAAAGTAGGTTATTCTGAGCCGCCTGTTATTGTCCAGTTGCAGTGAAATGGGACACCTTGTAAATGAAACCTAATTGGTGTTATTCAGGTGACAGCGGGAAAGGTATCCAGGAACAACTTCCGTTGATTATCGGTTCCTCCACCGCCGCCCTGATCTTTATCGTGGCAGTCGTCGTGGTCATCGTTGTGTGCATCAGGTAAACCTTTTCTCTTTTTCTCTCTCTCTCTCTCTCTCCCCACCAGTGTCCTGGCCACCAATTCTCCGTATGTAATGAGTCGCTAACTACAGGGCCACTTGTAGGACAATGACTGATCTGGTTGAACCCTCTCGGAGTGCCTCACTCAGTAGCGACTAGGAGTGGATTGTTACGCAGGCGGACGCGGCATCCAGTCTACCCCAGTCACGGCCAACAGATAGCCGTGAGCTGAATGACGAGAGAGGAACTGTGCCTCTTCAGTGCCTTTGGGATATGTGCAATAAAACTCCTTTGCTTTATTTTAAGGAAACGCAGTCATGGTTCGGAGTCGGAGTACACAGAGAAGCTCCAGCAGTACAGCACCGGCCACAGTAAGTGCTTTGCTTTATCAGCTATTTCCCAAGTAGAACCTTTGAGGTATTTAATCTAAGCGTTATCGGCTGATACATAACCTGGTTAACCTTTTCCTTCACTTCCTGACAGTTACACCAGGAATGAAGGTCTACATCGATCCTTTCACGTACGAAGATCCAAATGAAGCCGTCCGGGAATTTGCCAAGGAAATTGATGTGTCGTGCGTCAAAATTGAAGAAGTTATTGGAGCAGGTAGACTAAAAGGCATTGACAAACTCTATTATTCTAAACATTATTTTTTAAGTTATAAAAAAAAATTCAAAAATATTTAATTTGCGTTGCATTCGACATTGACAATTTGGTTTCTCTGCGCGATGCAGGAGAATTCGGGGAGGTGTGCAGAGGGCGTCTTAAACTTCCGGGACGAAGAGAGATCTTTGTAGCAATAAAAACGCTCAAGGCTGGGTACACGGAAAGGCAGCGGAGGGATTTCCTAAGCGAGGCAAGCATCATGGGGCAGTTCGATCACCCGAACATCATCCATTTGGAAGGGGTGGTGACCAAGAGCCGTCCTGTTATGATCGTCACAGAGTTCATGGAGAACGGAGCCTTGGACTCATTCCTTAGGGTAAGCGGATGGTGATCGAAACGCGTTCGATCTCATTTTACAGCGATGTTTATTGTGGGTCCTGTCACTACCCAGTGCTAGTTTTGCCCTGGAAGGGCTGTGCTGCAGCCTAAATGGGTGCCATTTGTGGGTCAGCCTCAAGCTCGGTTGGTAGCACTCTTTACCTCCAATCCAACAAGCTCCCTCTTTCCCCCTCAAGACAGAATTAATCATTCACTACAATTGGCGCTGTATAAATGTAAATTCACATTGTATTGTATATTTACTTGTTCCAAACACAACTTGTAAGCGCTGCGAAAAGCTGGGAGTTTGATTAAAAAATTTGTTCTGTTTTTAAGTATTTCGCCGCACCACATTTTAAATGGCATTTGATGCGCACTTTTTTTTACCCATTGGTCTGTCTTTGAATAGATTCTGTGCATGACTTCTCCACTGCAAACGAACTCTGGATTGAATATGACACAGGCATGTCTCAGTCTTTAATTGAATTTTGAAGATTTCCTCAGCCAAAGTTTTCAAGTGAAAATTTCTAGTGATTTGGCTAACAGCCTGGGAATCAATTACAAGAGGCCTGAACACTTTTCTCTCCACGGTTCAGGGGAAGAGGACGTGTGTTTCAGAGCAACTCGGTTGAGGGGAGATTTGTTTATTTTTAAATGAATAATCCACACGCACGCCTTGTGAATTTCTTCCGCTTTGACAACTGAACTCTGTCTTGTCATATCTGTCTGGGATATTCATATTAATGATCCCCTCCTCTCTCTCTTCCCCCCGCCCCCTCTTTTCTCCGTAGATGAACGATGGACAGTTCACTGTCATCCAGCTCGTTGGTATGTTGAGGGGCATCGCAGCCGGGATGAAGTATTTGGCGGAGATGAATTACGTGCACCGGGATCTTGCCGCCAGGAACATTCTGGTCAACAGTAACCTTGTGTGCAAAGTGTCTGACTTTGGCTTGTCGAGATTCCTGGAGGACGATGCAACAGACCCGACCTACACAAGTTCACTGGTGAGGGCAGCAAGGGCTAATGGATTGTGCATTTTGCCCTCAAGCTCTGAGGGAAAGAGAGATAGAGAGAGTACTGAGGAATTACTGTTTGAAAGAGGCACTTCAAACGCAACAGCAAAACCACTTGTAATTGTGTCAGCTTCTAGCCTGAAAGTCATAGGGTCAAGCGCTGTGTCAGGGGTGTGTGGGGGCGGGGGTTTGTGGGTGACGGGCAACGGGTGGGCTTTCAGCTCATCATCCAGAACTGGGAGAGAAGCGGTGCATTATCGGGACGAGAACCAGTAATGGAAGTGGGTCCTGTCTGCCTTGCCTGACATTTTAGGTGAACGTTGAAAGATCCCATTGAGGAAAGAGGAGGGACTTTCTCCTCCAGAATGATCGTGCGGAGGCTTGTGGGAACTTGCTATGCATCAAAAAAAATATAGCCTTGGGTGAATTTGTTTGACAATGGTGACTGCACTGTGTTGATATGAGTAAAACGGAACTTAGTAAACAGAGGGGTTGTGTGTTTTTTTGAACCAGGGTGGGAAAATCCCCATCAGGTGGACGGCCCCAGAAGCCATCGCGTACCGCAAGTTTACCTCGGCCAGCGACGTGTGGAGTTACGGGATTGTCATGTGGGAAGTCATGTCGTATGGAGAGCGACCATACTGGGACATGTCCAACCAGGATGTGAGTATTATGGAGCCGAATGTCGGAACACGCTGTCAACAACAACTTGCATTTATATCTCGTCCTTCGCCTGGGGTAGCGTCCTGGAGGGCTTCGCGGTGGTGGAGTCTGACAACGAGAGCCAAGGGGAGAGGGAGGGAGGGAGGTGACCGTAAGCACCATCAAAAAAGGAAAGATCTTTAGGTGGCATTTGAAGGTGGGGAGGGAGGAGGGCAAGGCGGAGGGATTGAGGAAGTGAGTTCCAGAGTTTCGGGGCATACTGACTGAAGGCTAGGTCACCGATGGTGGAGCGGAGGGCATGAGAGACAAATAGATACAGTGACACAGATACATAGACCCCCTTCTGTTCCGTGCGAAAATTTTTAACCTTCTGTAATGTCTGGCTTTTCCCCCCCCCCTCCTCTCTCCCTCTCCCACCCCCACCACTTGCAGGTTATCAATGCTGTGGAACAGGATTACCGCTTGCCACCGCCCATGGACTGCCCCACCGCCCTGCACCAGCTGATGTTAGACTGCTGGGTGAAAGACCGCAACAACAGGCCCAAATTTGCCCAGATCGTCAACACGTTGGACAAGTTAATCCGAAACGCAGCCAGTCTCAAGGTCGTCTCCAACGCCAACCCAGGGTAGGTCTTTCCCTCCCCCTCCCTCGCACATTTTCCTTTGGAAGTTTGATCTCCGTCGCGAAATTATACCTTCTGCCAGGCTCCCACCTTACAATTATGATCCATTACGGGGGGCGCCTGTTGTTTTTTGAGCTTTACAAAGAGGCCTTGTTTAAGAAGGCTCTTTATCTCCTTCCTCGCAAACAAACACACACTAAAAAATAAACCCTCTCTTTGTGACATTTCCAGCGGGCTAAACTTTTAATCTTGGCCCCCGCTGCTCAAGCATGGAGTCCGTGCAATTCGTGACCTTGGTTATCTGTAGGTCACTGGTGTAAATGCCTCTCATGTAAGGTGACCTGTCAGCCCCACACACACACACACACACAAAAGGACAATATGGGCTGTTCAGTAAACCAAGTAACCCTGAGGTATTTCGGGATAGGCCTGGGCTTTTTCTCTGCCTGTCCATCTAGGGTCTGGCTGATGAGTGATAGACAGGAAACAATAACGCAAGTGCCCTTTTTGCTTTAGGGCTGAAGGTCCTGAGGTCAGTTAGTTAGGTCTTAATTGATGAGTAATGTAGCCTGGGGCGGGGGGTGGGGGTGATGAATACAATATGAAAGTATGTTACTTGCACGAGAGCTTCAGAAAAAAACGGGAAAGAGAAAGATAATCTCAGCAGCGCTCACAAGGATTGAACCAGGAACGAGTGGAAAGTGTAAGGGGGTGAAAGTGTAGAAATTCACTGCACAGAAAGAGACCATTGGGGACATCATGTCTTTGCCACCGCTGCCTGTTTTTCTAAATCACTTTTTTTTAAAAAAACAAAAGGAATGTCACTTACACATCGCACTTCACATGAGGTAGCATCTCGGGAGAGCTGAAAATGAATTCATTAAGTTCATTCCACTTTCCAGCTCTCTCCCCCACGTGGCTAGATGTTTTTACGACTCAGGTACAGTCATAGTTGCCTTGTGAATGATCCTATGAGTCCAGCTTCGCTTGCCACGTGTGGGCTTGTACAGGTGGCGTTTGCGTACAAAACACACAGTCGCTGCGCTTCACAGTAAAACCGTGGGGCGCGCTTTCAGACCCCTCCCCAATGCCAAAGGGACTGTATGGGGGGAAAAAACAAGTTATTATATATTATCACTAAGGGCTTTGCACAGCTGGAGAACTGGCACATCACACACACAGTCTGACACCCCAACCTTCACAAACAAGAGGCAAGAGTGCTACCAACCGAGACCAAGCTGATAACTTAGCAACAAGCGAGTCAACAAACAAGCCCTGTATTCCAAGGGCATCGTTGAATGCGGGATCCACTTCTGTTAATATTAATGGAAAAGATGCCTTCAATGTATATTTTTTTTAAAATTCGACCCGAGTCGCTTGTCAAAAGTTAAATTAAACTTTCACGGCAGAATGATTACAGAGTCCTGAACAGTTGCAGATAATTAATTTCACTGTCACGGAAAAGCAGTGAGGGTGCTTTCACCCGCCCCCTCCATCCTTCGCCTTGCATATATTAGCGTGGTTGATGACGGGAATAAAAGATACAAGAGCAGCTTTGGTGACAGGGTTGACGTGAGACCTGCAGATAAACCTAATGAGCAGGGTTTCAACGCCGCACATCTCGGATTTGATCGAGGGAGAGTGAGACTGGCTGGCTGATGATCTCTGCTGTGCATTGTGATCAAACAGTGAGGGGAAGTGCTGCTCTACACCCTCCCGGGCGCTTGAAGCTTGCAGCAAGATAAAGCTTTCCAGCTGCCGTGAAGCCCCGATCAGCAGATGCTGTTCCCATTGCGTTTTTTGCCAACCAATGTTAGTCAAGTTCCCAAGTGCTCAACAGCAGCTCAGTGTTGAGAAGAGTAACTCTAGGAATGTCTCAGTAGGTAAAGGTGTCAGCCTGATTCAAATCGGTATTGCTCTCACCTCTTAAGTCAGAGGCCCCACATCGGGACTTTGAACTTCTATTGTCTCTGTTGACTTCATGCCTGGTTGGTGGGACGTTGCTGTGTTTAAGCGCTCTGAGATGCTACTCTGCGTGAGGGGCACTGCGTACATGCAAGTGAGCAAATTGTCTGCCACGCCTGCCTGCAAAATATAATCACGACACTACAGTAAATCCACATTCAAGGACTTCAGGAGAGAGTACAGGGTCAGGTTTGACCGCGGTAGTCAACTGGGCTTTGGAGACTTGCTGCCTACACTTGTGTGTGACGAACGGTCACTAAGGGAGATGCAGGAGATCTCTTTCCTGGGGTCTGGAGCTACACCGCAACAGGAGCCATTCAGTTCAGGGGGGGTAGATACAACAAACGGGCTATAGAAATTCACAGCACAGAAGGAGGCCATTTGGGGAGGGGAGCTTTGCCCCTGCATCCTGTTTCACGATTCCCTGCTAATTCAGCATGAAAGAGTTACAACAAAACCATTTCCCCAACCCCATTATGATGAGGTGATAAAACAGCCAGAATGTTGGGTTTCAATGGCCCTACTGCTCACATATGGGTCATTTTAACTGGTTGCAAATGGAAGGAATGGTATGTACACTCAGCACGAGCCAGGAGAAGCCAATATTCTTAAGAGGAGAATAAAAGTTAAACAGCTTGCTGGACTGATGCCCTGATTGGGGGCAGGGAGGGGGATGGATGTGACTTGTTGTGAAGGGAATTGGCAAAGTAAATGGAGAGAAGCTTTATCACCCGTGAAGCTGATCAGTTACTGAAGGACATAACATTAAAATTAAAGACTGAATGGTTAGCGCTAGGGATGGAATGGATTTTTGTTTCTCACAGAGAATGACATGATTTTGATACGAGCTGTCATAAATGTGGAATCAAGGGATTGGGGGATTCAAGGAGAGAGAAATAAGTAAATAGCTATTTGAAGATGGAGCTATTAAAGGGTACAATAATAATCCTTACATTTAATTTTGTAGCTTATCACGTCGTCCAAAACGTCTCAAAGGACCTACCGTAAATTGTAGTGACTGTATGCTTTGTAGGCGAACTTGGCAGCCAATTTGCACCCAGCAACGTCCCACAAACAGCTGTGACATGAATGATTGTTGAATAGGTCACTAGGAGAAACTCCATTCCTTTTTTGAATGGGATCTTTAACCTCCTTTAACAGGCAGATGGGACCTCGGTTTAAAGTCTCATCTGAAGAACGGCATCACTGTCAATGCAGCACCAACCCTCCCTCCCCTCACCAGCACTGCATGGGAACTTCAAGCTCTAATAGTCCCCATGAATATACCGCAATGGTCTCCTGTTACTAAATACCCATGTTTCCATTTGCCCCTTCTGGGGGCATGGATGGGGGCTGTCCTTAACTAATTTGATGGTGGAAGAGTGGGGGGGAGTGGGCGGAGAAGAGAGTAGAGATATCAGTTATATTGCTTTCCGTGTTAATTCATCTGTTAAAATTCTCCCTCCTGTTCAACTTCTCTGACTGTAGTATGCAGATGATAGTGGTAGCCCACATGGACATTCACTAGAGCCTCACGTGCATACTGAACATATTTATCATGCCAGCATTGCACGAATCTCGGAATCAGTTGACAAACCAGTTCCAGAATACAGCCCATTAACCCAAGCATTCTTATTACCCAATTTCCCCCCAACCCCCGCCCCACCTCCCCCAAAAGAAACTCATCCTTTTCCTGTGTGGCTGGATTCCCATTATCTTATTATCTCTCCACAACTTTGTTTCTTTGACAATTATAATTCAGAAATAGCAATATTAAAAAAAANCTTGCATTTGATACAGCACCTTATCACGTCGTTGAGACATCTCTGAGGGCTTCACACGGATTTTACTGTGCAGTGTAGTGACTGTATTTTGTAGTCAAACGCTGCACACAGCGTTGTCTCACAAACCGTGAAGTGAACGGCCCTTTTACTGGCTCGTTCAGCCTGACTGGCCCTCGGGTTCCTTCCTGAGCTCCTCATTGCCGATCTGTTCTTTGCAGTCCGCAACCTCTTGGATCAGAGCGATATTCTCCCCTTTAGTCTCGAGACGTTTGCCTTTTGAATCAAAGCCAAGTTTAGCAACGGCCTGCAGAATATCAATAAACACAGCTATCCTTTTGATGTTTTATTCATAGCGATTAAGTTTATATATATTTCATATAATGCAGGGAAATCGAAAAATTTGGGTTGCTCGCAAACCCAATGCGTCTGGTTCGAAAGATTGAAAAAGTCGTACTGAAGTCAAATGTGGTTACAGAGATGATTTCAGGCTGGAATGTTGCATTTCTTGTATCAAGCGTCATTCCATCGGGCCATGGTGTAGAATGAGCTTCACACTGTTATTAAATATTAAGCGTTTATCAGTCAGTCAGTCAGTCCTAATGTGTAAAACCCACATCCTCAGACTCAGTTTGTGACTTAAAACAGTGCTGGAAAACTCAGCTCATCCACTGGTTAGCCCTAAGCACCATGTAATCTTAACACTTATTCCCTTTCTTCACCCGCTGCTCCCTTTCCACAAATGCAAAGATGCATCTTTCCCTTTTCACCATTGAATACGTCTCAATATTTTCAGAAAGTTTGCATAATATTATCCGGGCAGAGTTGTGTGCGTCACAGGCAGAGTCACTGCAGGAACACCACTAGTTCCTCAGGTCTGCAAAAGACATCATCTGCCGTATTGAATCTGAAATCTGCTGCAGCTTCTCCTCTGTCGCACTTCCCTCTTGCATGAATTAAAAGTCCCTTATTGAGAGCTGAAGGGCAAATTTAAACAGCTCCCATCAGCTTAACCTGTCAGTGCTGGAGTCAAGGCAGCGTAAGCAAGAACATAGAGTAACACTGGCTCACGGTGTTACTCTCTGCTTACTAGGCCACACAGAGGCTAAGTGAGAGATATCAGTAAGGATATAGATTGCATCAGGGGCATGCAGAGACTGTTATCAAAAGGGTCAAAGCTGCTTTGCTGTAAGAAATAGTATATGCAGAGCAGCTGCGATCCTTATCAGTCTCTGTGCCTGAAGGGACCTGCTGTGCAGTCAGTCTGGGAGCTGATGTGGACAGGGCTTAAGATGTGGACTGATTGTGTCTTATCTCCCCCCACAGCCCCTCCCAGCCTCTTTTGGATCGTACAGTTCCCGACTACACCACATTCACCACAGTGGGAGATTGGCTAGATGCCATTAAAATGGGTCGGTACAAGGAGAATTTTATTAATGCCGGGTTCACCTCATTCGACCTGGTTGCTCAGATGACGGCAGAGTAAGTATGATCCCTCATCGCTTTCTCCTTGCTGCACGGATTTGTTAGGCAAGTTCAGGCTGTCGTGGGAACATTTCACAACCATTTTATTTCATTCACAATCTGAATGTTGTACCCAAACCTGCCCCTGGCTACCGTCAGGCTCCATGTTTGGGTTCTGACCCACACTTCAGTAGTTCAACTCCCTGTGTTTATAGGGTTGGCTGACACACCAGTGCAGTGCCGGGCAATTGTTTTTCTCTCGGTAGTCCTTGCCAACTCTTCCCCACCCCCCCACCCCACCCCCGATAAAATAGATCATTCACTTCATGGCTGTTTGTGGGACTTGTGCATATTGTGTATCGCGTTTGTCTGCAAAATACACAGTCACTCCACTTTACAGTAAGTCGTGTCAAATGATTAGAGATGTATCGACAGTGTGAGAAAGCACTATATCGTCTATTGTTCATTTCACGGAATTAACTTGCAAAGCAGGGGCATGGCAGGCGGTGTTAACACAGTGTTTATCAGGGCTTGTCAACCAGTTAGGTGGGTTGAATTTCTGAAGGCTCTGACATTGCACCTCTGGCCATTTTCCCTTTTTATTCAGAAAAAAATGAATAATACAAATCTCATTGTATTTGGATTCAAGTTACAGAAATGTTGGAAGACAGAGAGAGAGAGAGCTTGCAGAAACAGATGCAGTAAAAATCCCAATTCACCAATTTCACATATAACGGCCCTATTTTTGAAACCGGGTGATTAAATTCCTCGTTCATTTTGGAACATGCACTTTACCCTGCGTTAAAGGCTAAAAGAACACTTTGAGGACATTGGTGTTGAATTATTTGGCACTCTCGGGTTTCCTTGTGGCGGTTCAATCGAAGTGACTGGCACAAATAATATGTGACAATATGTCTTATTCTGTTCCAGGGATTTGTTGAGGATAGGAGTCACCTTGGCTGGACATCAGAAGAAAATACTCGGCAGCATTCAGGACATGAGGTTACAGATGAATCAGACTCTACCAGTGCAGGTCTGATCACAAGGAACCTTACTACACAATAGGAATGAAGTCAAGCGAGAGAATTATCTGCCAAAAGGATATTTTGTGTGCAGTGCCTGGCTTCTGGTTTTACCTCTGTGGAGCATCTGGAACCATTGCCTCAGAGCAATCTCTTGGTTCAAGGATAATTGTAGTGTGAACGGCTCCGATAAGGAATGCAGTCTAAAAATCGTTGCGTCTTTCTGAGATGCTTGGCTTTGCCTCCTGGAAATCTATTCCCCTTGCACCAAATCTGCGATGACAACAAGACTGTCGAGAAGTGGCCACCACAGGCGAGAAAGCCAGTGCGTATTAAGTCTTCATATTGAAGATGTGTTATTTAAATCGATGTGTGACGTTGCCACTTGGAATACTGGGTCACGAGTTTGATATATAGTCCGTGTGTTGCATTCCTTCACAGCACCCCTGTCCCCCTTGAGAAACGATAAAGAAGCTGGATAATCCTGTACATAGCATGGCACCCTGCTATCTAGACTCCACGCTAATTCTCAACTTGCAATGTAGATGGATTTGGATTAGGTTAGCGTTAATGGCTTTGGGGTACATTTGGTCCAAATTTGACTCTTCTTCACGACTTGTAAGGCACTCAAGCATTGACTGCCACCCAGCGCCGAGCACTGACAAAATAATATTTGGAAGGGAGAATTGATTCCTGGATTTATTGGCTCTGTCTGTGCATTAGCAAATGCAACGAGCACAGAACAGCTTCCGTTAATGCACCATCAGATATGACATGACTGCTGCAAATGCAAGGTACATGCCTCCCACCCCCATGGACTTCAGCACTGGGATTTCCTCTGGTTTCCATTTGATTTGATGAAGGTGTCACTTGTGTGTGTGTGTGCGTGGGGAGGGAAAGAGCAGTCATGGGGTGGGGTGGGACTGTCAGTGAACAACTCCGAGCTGGAGAATGAACTATGGGAAGGCAAGAAAAGTTTTGTGAGCCGTCATAAAGAAGGAACGAAGATCTTTCGGAGAATGGAGATCCTGTGTGTGTGTGTGCGGTGGGGGGCTGAAGGGAAGCCAAAATGAACTTCACGACCACCTGTTTATTCAAGTGCTGTCAAACTTCTGTTGTCATTGCCAAAAAAANCCAAGACGGGAACTTCTATTTTTCCTAAAGAACTGAGAAAATCTTTTGTGAACTCGAGCGTGGAGCACCTGTATGGCGAAACGAAATAACCGTGGAAATGGCAATAAGCATTTGGGATTTTGGTTTGCAATCCAGCGTGTTTGTAGTTCATCTGCATTCCTCTCCCCTCCTGACGTTCAAGGGAAACGAGGTGGAGGAAATTGTACATTTGTACATACTATCCAATATTTCCCTTTCGTTAATGTGTGGGCTTCAGATACGGACTGTGTATATTTTGCCACTCTGAAGGGATCGGGCCTGAACTGTATATAGAAAAGGCAAAACAAAAAATGTGCAGAGATCTCGCATGAATATTCTACAGTCCTGAATCACACACACACACAAAACAAGACACTTAATCCCAAATTGTACTGTAAAATAACACTGTGTTGTAAAGAAACAAAAAAAACAATTATTTTGAACTATTTGTTGTGAAATGTTACTCAGTAGTTGCTAAAAAGTGTCTGCTCAGCATCGGTGATCATGATAAAAAAAATGTTATGTTATTGTTGCTATGAAATCTGGTACAAGCTTTAATTATTCCCCAGCCCACCATTTCTTCTGTAGTCATCTCTTACCTCCTCCCTTTCCCTACTCAACTCCCCAACGCCCCCCATTTTTATGCCTGTGATAGCCTTACACTGGCTTAATCTTTTGTAGAAAGACCTAATGGCTCTCTTCCGGTCACTTTGGAAAACAAACCTGTATAGTATTTTACAATCTTTTTAAAATATTGAGATGTATTTAATGGTGAAAAAAACAAAGATGCGTTCTTGCATTTGTAGAAATATTTTTAAAAACAAACCCGTTTTGCAATTAAATTATTTAAGAAATTTATGGTATTACTTGTTGCTGTTTTCTTTTTGTTGCTCACTTCTGGGGTGATTGAGTTGGTGCGATGAGCAGTGGGGAAAATGTTACCATGGGCTATTAGATAATTTATAGCAGTTTAATGGGAAGCTAACTCCAGCTGAAATCCGCAACTGTTAGTGGATAACCAATTTTGTGGTGATGCAATCTATTTTTTGTTGAGTATAAAACCAGGAGTAGGGATTACGATGCTGTGAAAAATGGCAGGAAAATCGTTCCTGGTTATAACTTTCTGGCACTTGATTCGAGCCTCAAATCCTTCCACTCAGCACGGCTTGGACTGGGAATCCAGACGTGTCGTTTTTTTTTAATACTCAAAGAAATAGGTGATTGATTGACCGTGATCCTCGTTCAGTGGCACCTTCGCAGTGTAGCAATCCACACGCTATGAGAGGAAGTCTCCAGACAGCACAGGATAAGATTACTGAATAAAACGTAAGTCAAGTGTGTAAATCAGTCGGATTGAGTGAGAACTTGGATTGCCTAATCTGTCCTCAAGGTGATAAGTACACGCACTCCAGCAGAACTTTCGATCGGAGCTGCATTTCTTTGAAGTTTTGCTTTGCACCTGGCCTTCCCTTCTTTTGGCAGCTCTCAACCTGCCCCCACACCACCGCCACCACCTTGTCCCACTTGGTTTCTCCCACTTGAACCTCTTTGGATTGTAAAATAAAATAATTTAACCCCATCATATTTTATCATTGCCAACTAATGCAGCTTGATGGCCGGTGCGACAGGAAGCGTGGCCAGTAAGGTCTCCTTAATTGGCAAAGTCCAACCCAAGAAAGCAATGGCTTCATTGTGATTAGAGCTTTACTTCACAGCTCAAGCCCAGTCAAAAATCAAGGTTGACCCTCAGGGATACAAGTGACCCGCAACCCTCCCATTCCAAAAGTGTGACCTCCTACAACTCTCAAACCCATTTCGTTAAGCACGCTGCCATTGAAATCCTCTGGTTCAAACACAAATTATTCCTGTACATGTACATTCCTGTACATTGGATTTCATGTCTTTGTTTTACAGTTTCCTCTTTTGTCAACCAAAGTGTTTTGTATTTTGGCCTACACGTCCAGAGTCTTATTAACCCGATGCCAAAAAAACAAAAAACCTCCTGACATTTTGTTAGAAGATCTGGGCTTAATTTCAGTCTGCATTGCTTCACGGGGTGTTTTTTTTCCAGCGGGAGAGGCCTGTTGCTGTTTTCAGTGTGAAATGATTTGATTCCTTTGACCTATTTTGCAATATTCGAACCTCTGGTATTAATTTAGCGCTGTCGTTTTCGAAGCCTCGGTCCAACAAAAATAACTAACAGCACTTTCAAGTCATTTTTTTCCCCCGAAGGGAGTGATATTTCTCTCTACTCCCTTCCCCCACCCCCACACCTAACTAATAAACGGCACAAAGCTTTGCTCAGTTCACACGTAACTTCAATTCCGTTACCTAAGATTGGAGAGCGTTCACGGTTACTCAACACAGTCCAATCGTTCAGGCAGCGGTTTAGCCTTTTGTCTTTACGTTGAAAGTCTTATTTCTTTGTTTCTTTTCAGTCCTGCTGACAGGAAACTGAATTTAATACTCTGGAATGTCCTCTGTTCAATTTAGAGTTCTGACCCTGCGAACATATTGAGTTAGTGGAAGATGGTTAATATTCTTATATGCAAGGAAATTTAGAGGCAGCTGTAGTCTATAAAGTTTTATAGTTTAATACCATGGTGCATATTTCATCTTTATTGCTCAGGGCACTTTTATGGAAGATGGTTTCTTTTTTCACTTCGGTATTGATCTTTATTAAATCCTTGTTACAGAGTAGAATTTTAAAAGGGTCATTAAACGATTGTTTAGCGTCGCAGGAAATTTACCGACATGGACTTATGATGCAGTAGGGGTGGAACGGATTGGGTGGCGGGCAAGGGGCTTGGAGTGATACCCTCGCCGGGCTAAAAATAAGCAGCAGTCGTGAGTCTTTGTCGTCGAGACAAAAAAAAGCGGGATTATAATAATAATAATAATCCTTGCATTTGATATAGCACCTTATCACATCTCAAAGCGCTTCATAGAACATACTATGAAGTGAATTGGCTTTATATTTTGTGGGCAAAATGTGGCAGCCAATTGCACACAACAGTGTCCCACAAACAAAAAAGTTATTTTGCTTTACAGCTAATTCTGCCTGATATATGTACAACGTGTCAGCTACACGCAGTGCCCATCCGAGCACTCTGAAGTGCCTTGTGATGTTCTCCCTACGTGAAAGGCGGTGTGTAAATGGTAACTTGTATTCTTTGAAACCTGCTCCTAACTGGGAAATGGGATGTGGGTTTTGTTGGCTGCAAAATCTAGTCCAGATTTTTAAAGCCTCAGGCCTTTTCCAAGGATAGACAATAACAATCTTAGCATTTGATGTAGCACCTTTCATATCAGGAGGATGTCCCATAGCACATTACAGAACTTGAGAGTTCAAAGAGCTGTCGTGGGGCTTGAACCCACAAACTTCTGACCCAGAGGCGAGAGCGCTACCGGCTGATAAACCGTGGAGTGCACACTCTCCCTGAGGAAATAAGCGTGAATTCCAGAAGGTAATAATCAACGTGTTCAGAACAATGGTCTGATCTTACTTGAAACACGATGTACTATTCTGGTTGCTGTATTAGAATAGGGAGATCCTAGCATTGGCTCGAGTATAGCAAAGGAATAATTCATCTAACATGTGGGATTAGGCATACAAACAGTGAAGAGAGTGGAAAATTGAACTATTTATATTGGAGAAAGGGAGACTTGGGAAGATCTTGGTGTGGTTTCAAGGGTTTACAAATTCTACATGTGCAGGGATGGGAGGGGGGGAAGAGAAGGAGGAGGTAGTAGTGATATCAGCTCGGAAAAGGGAAGATGAACAGTCAATTTAGCATAAAGAGTGGTGAATACATGAGACAGACTGACTGCCCAGAGTGGCTGTGGGCCCAACCAAAATTCAATGAACGAGCTGGATAGATATTTGGCAAACAAAGTGATGAGGGACTTAGACGAGATGGAGAGTGTGTGGTATTCTTTAAACCTTGTTGCTAGCCAAATGGATCACAAAGTATTTTCCAATCCTCTACATTCCTATGTCTGTATGTAATTTGATGTTTATAATTTCTGAGTTGTTTTTTAAGTAATGAGTTACATGCTGGTTTATACAGCTCTTTGCTGTAACATTTGGCTGCTTAATTCCCGAATCACACAGAATCATTCAACTTGCTATTCAGTGGCTCACATCCAGCATCTGGGCTTTACATTATTAACACAGAGTTTGATTCTTATCAGAGCTGCACTTCTCTGCAGTACTTGGTATGAAGTTTGCTGAACACCAATGACTGGTTCTGCTGATGGATGAGAAAAAGACCAATCTGATGTGATCTGAGTTTGGACAGTCTGAATCCAGGCTGATTTAAGTCCTAACAGCACAAAAATAGTTTTCACTCAAACGAATGAGAAAATGGGAAAGGCAGCTTGATACGGATCATTGTGCTTTTCTGAAACTGGGGTTGAACCACATTGTTTGAGAAACAAGGAGAGAGCTGTGCTGTATTTAGCTTGCTCCAGCATAGGATGATTTCTGAGACTGGGATTAAGGTATGTTGTTACAGCAGGATAAGCGAGATCTGCGCTGTTTTTAGCTGTTGCTACATGTGTACACCTGTCAGTGAAACCTAGCAAAGCTGTAATATATAGCTAAGTGTTCTGAAGTGGATGTAGAGGTGTTAGCGAGTGAGTTTACTCCCCTTCTGAAGCCTTTAAGTTAGAAGCTTTACAACTCTCAATCCCTCTGCCTTGGCCCCTCCTTCACCTCTTTTAGATCGCAACTGAAGACCTTCCTCTTCGTCCGTGCTTATGGTCATCTCTTCCCCCCACCCCCCCAGCTCGATGATAGCCTCTGATACTTTTAAGCATTCCGAAACACTGCCCCACTTGAAGGGAGTTTTATAAATGCAAGTTGTTGTTATTGGTTATTTGACTTGGACGCATCAATCTTCGAAGCTGGAAAGCCCTCCCTGCCTTTCAAACCCCTTCTCAGCCACTTTAAAGCTGCCTCGAACAGCAAAAAAAAACACAATATAAATAATAATTGATAATTCATCATTATTAATAAGTCTTATAAATTCTGTATCAAATGCAAAGTTTTCTTTTATATTATTCATATCAATTACAGAACCAGTTAGAAAAGGGTTTCCACAGACTTGCCGGCAAGCTAAGGGTGCCAGCATGCTCCCTTGTGAAGAATGAACCTCACAACAAGGTTTACTATAACATTAGTTACTTCCTCAGGAAGGAATTTTCTGTTGTAACATCTTCAATATTTAAAGCATCTGTTTTAGATTTCTTGCCGGAATCCATGTTCGTTCTTTGTAAAAACATTACTTATCGGTTGTTTATAAAGTTAGATTTTGTTTAAAACGTATCCTATTATACGTTGCAGTGAATTGTAAGGTAATTATTGAAGTGAGTACTGAGAACACTGATTGAATATTATTCACAGTTTAATCGGGAGCTTTCCTATTGTTGTTATTGTTGATCTCTAACTAATTGTGTCGGAGGTGACATTGCGTAATATATCTTTCAGGGACCCATTGTTTTTAATTGGAATTATTTCCTTGCAGTCTGGCTCCAGAGCAGAATGAGAAACAGATGATACAGCTTTAAACAATACCTACTTAGGAAATGTGAAGTGTCTGTGATCCTATACTATGTGATGTAATCAAAGGCAAATCACAAGAAGAACTGGAGGCAAGGTGTAATTGACAGCTATTCATTGATGCTTGCTACTAAATACATCCAGAAGCTTGATGCAATGAAGTCTCCATAGCAAGTATTCTGGCGTAAATGAGTCGGTGTGGCCTAGTTTTCAATATTATTTGAACAGGGTTTCTTACAAAGCAATCCTGTTTGATTTCTCATCGCCCTCACTGCAGAG